GCCAACAAACTAAAGACATAATTGAATAAAGCAATAGAACACAGCTTTCCAGAAACATGTAAAAACCAAAGTGAATATTTAGATTTATTTTTAATAAACCTTAGTTCTCCTCTTTCCCCCAAAGCACTAAACATTTAAAAAATATGGCTGCAATTTGATTTGAATATTAGGCTAAAATGATTTTTAAAATCTAATGTTACATTGAAAAGCTTAAAAATAACCCAAATCCCCTTATACATTTCTGCCTGTATCATGGCCTAAAGTATAGATTAGCATGCTTGTCATGGGATCAGTCATAACGTTATCAGTTGGTTTTACAATCAGCCCTCTCCCCTTCTCAAAAAATGTATCAAGTTAAATTCCACCTAAGCTTGCCTCAAGTGTAACAGCTTAATTATACTTGACAGTTAACTTCCCCAAGGTCGTATGTTTGGGAGAAACAGTTTCTTTCATGTAAATTTGATTTTTTGGCTAATTAATGGCCACTCGATGTGTTTAATACATAAATTCAAACAAAGATTTATACAGAATTTAACTGTTTTGGTTGTTTTATTGTTATTACTTTATTATTTATTATTTTATTATTGGTTATTGTTATAAAGTGCAATATAGTCCGAGAATCAAAAGGGCAGTCTAGAGAAGGAAGGAATTGTTGAATTTGGGAAAAAAAAAAAAAACCCTAACTGATGATTTGGAAACCAAATAAACTAGTGTATATTTCTTTGAAATGCCTTTTTTCTTTGTAGGATTGGATGAAAGGTCTGCAGGCATTTTGCAATTTACGGAAAAGTAGTCCAGGGACATCCAATAAACGCCTTCGTCAGGTGAAGCTTAATTTTCTTTGATTTTTAATTGTCACATTTTGCTCTAATGCTTTGCTCTTTTTATTTTATTTTTATCTGAACTGTTTTCGACATCGTATCTTAGGAGGGGTTAAGCCATGCTGCCACTTGCTTTAGTAGCAGGAAAACATTACTTCATTATGAAAGAGAATGTTCTTTCTTAGTCCAAAATGCCAAATGTTAAAAACATAAGAAAGATGATTCTTCCACTTTAAATAACAATACTAAACCAACACAGCAGAAACTGTTCTGTTGGGCACTTAATTTTCCTTTAAAAAATTATTTTGGCCTTTTTCAAAAAAGTAGAACATTGAAAAGATCATCAGATTTATAGCACAAATCCCAATAAACTTTTTTGGGATTTTCATTTTGAAGAACAGCTTTTAAAACCTACTGCTTAACTCTTAGGAAATATTTAATCTTATTTGAAACTGTAACATGCCCTATACTTTGAGTTGTGGAGAGTTAAGCTAGGCTTTCTCTTTTTTGCCTTTACAAGGGTAACTTTATAACCTCCATTTCTTGGCTTTTTTCCTTTATAGTAATCCCTATATAATTGGAAGAAGTTAGGCAAATTTTGACATTCTCGAGGTTTTAAAGAAAGTTGAGTACAATATTTACTGACCAAAGTGTCTCCTGTTCTCTTCATGTGAATATCTGATAAGCTGAGTGATTAACATACTGTTCTACTGGGAGTGGATAATGGTTGACATTTAGGTGACTAAATAGTCCCTGTAACCCAAAGTCTGGCTCTTCGCCAGGGAAATTTAAGTACACACACAATCGCCATGTCTTCATAACATTGTAACATTTTGTAAGCTATCAAAAATCAGATTGGATTTTTGCAAATAAGAGCAAGTTGTATTTTGTATGAAACTTGAGCCATTAAACTGACATTTGCAGGTTTAACATAATCATAGCTAACATCTCAAACACTTTTTATGTATCAGTGGGCAGTGAGATTTAGTGATTTACATATACAGTTGGCCCTTTCTATTCATGGGTTCTGCATCACTGTAATCTACCAACCATGGGTCAAAAATATTCAGAAAAAAATACAATAAAAAGATACAGTATAACAACTATGTACATAGCATTCACATTGTATTAGGTATTACAAGTAATTTAGAGATGATTTACAGCATACAGGAGGGCATGCATAGATTTTATGCAGATACTACATCATTTTCTATATGGAACTTGAGCACCTTGGGCTTAGTTATCTGCCAGGAGAGAGAGGTGGAGGGTATTGAAATCAGTCCCCCACAGATACCGAAGGATACCTAGTTTGTAATCCTTATTACAACCTGTAGTGTAGACTTTATACTTACATATTAGAAAGATGAGGCTTAGAGGGACAGATTTGTCCAAGGCCACACAAGTAGTATATGGCAAGAGAGAAAGAGGACCTGATACTAGAAGGTAGATGATCTAAGTTTTGGCATCCAAACTGACAAATAACTTAGTTTCTTTAGGTTTGTATCCTTTCCTGTAAAATAAGAAGGTAAGGTCAGTGTTTTAAAAATGTTTAGCTGTGGAACTCTTCTATAGAAATAGAATCTTCCAGATAAATATTATATAACATACGGGATTTCGATTTGAGTAGTGACAGTTGTTTACTTACATTAGTAAAGAATTTTCTTAACTTCATTTTCTCTTTATCATTGTTTTATGGTAGAAAAGATGTATTTCATTATTTCTCCAAGATATATATAGTGGGAGAAATAACTTGTAAAATAAAATTGCATTGTTTTATCTTTTTAGGTGGGAAGAATTATTTTAAATGTTTGAATGTTTTAAGTATGCCATATATAAAGGAAAAATATAACCAAAGCTCATATTTTCTGAAAAAAGGGGAAAATGAAGTCATTATTTTTGGCTTTGTATCTTAGAGTAATTGCTTTTGAAATGTGCAATTCTAGAAATCTGGGGTAATTTTTTTTTTTTTTTTTTTTTTAGGTCAGCAGCCTTGTTTTACATATTGAAGAAGCCCATAAACTCCCAGTAAAACATTTTACTAATCCATATTGTAACATCTACCTGAACAGTGTCCAAGTAGCAAAAACTCATGCAAGGGAAGGGCAAAACCCAGTGTGGTCAGAAGAGTTTGTCTTTGAGTAAGTCTTATTTTATCATTACATTAATCATTTTCTTTTACCACATTGCATTTCTTTCTATTTTTTTTGGTCTCTAAACCATCAGAACAAGGTACCATATCCAGGTGTCCTAATAGCTATATATATAAATTTTTTTTTTCTGTTGTATTTGTTTACCTTTATTTGTGAAGTGCTATGCCCTTGGTTTTTCCACTTAGTTATTAACATGAATTATTAGCAAGTCAAAAAACTTTACTAATCCACACATACAAAATGTTTACTAGGGTTTCCAGTACTTATCTGAATGAATTATTAGTTTAGGAGGTTAAAGATGGTAGGAAAAGTGTGTAATTTGCGTGTCTTCTGTATACCAAATAAAATACGTTGTGAATCTGGTTTTAGGTCTAGCACACTTTTTTTTTTTTTTTTGGGCAGAAATGGGGGTTTATTTGATACTAGAACTAAAGAAATAAGGTAGTTTGATGCCAAATCATTTTGTTAATTCTTTTTCTCCTTGCTCCTTTAGTGATCTTCCTCCTGACATCAATAGATTTGAAATAACTCTCAGTAATAAAACAAAGAAAAGCAAAGATCCTGATATCTGTAAGTTGATACAGAAACTTTATAAAATAGAAAAAGCATGTTTTATATACTTTAAAAATTCACAATGAAATAGTCTTGAAATAGAAATTTAAAAAAAAATCAGAAATGCACGTAGTATAATTTGAGATAGTTTCTTTCTGCATTATTGTATTGATTATCTTAAAGTATTGATTATCAAGAAAGAGTATACCTAAGAAAGAAAAACACCAACACGGTTCAACCGTACATACTGTTAGGCAATTAAGATTAAAGTATCTAGCCACCCTCCTTTCTCCAATGAATAGGAAGGATAAGAAAATGATTATAGTGGTCTTTTTGTAGGGCTTGCCCTCATCCCTTCTACTTTTTAGGTTTTTCTGTTTTTTTCTTTTGAGATGGAGTCTTGCTCTTGTTGCTCAGGCTGGAGTGCAGTGGTGTGATCTTGGCTCACTGCAACCTCCACCTCGCAGGTTCAAGCGATTCTCCTGCCTCAGCCTCCTGAGTATCTGGGACTACAGGCGCCCACCACCATGCCTGGCTAAGTTTTGTACTTTTTTTTAGTAGAGACGGGGGTTTCACCATTTTGGCCAGGCTGGTCTCGAACTCCTGACCTCAGGTGATGTGCCTGCCTCAGCCTCCCAAAGTGCTGGGATTACATTAGCATATTAGTAAAAAAGTATTCTATTTAAAAATTTCCCTTAAACTTGAATATATCATTTATTCACTTCTGGTAGTCAAAGGCTCCCAGTTCCTGTCCTCAGCAGCACTCCTTCTTCCATCCTGCTCTAAAGCAGTTGACAGTGGGATTTATCAGTTCACATCAGGGTGAATTAGGTTAATACCTTCTTAACACTCAGGCTTAGGGAAGGAAGTGATATGTATTAACAGACAGATCAAAGCCTGAATATTCCTCTATAAAATGTTTATTCTGTAATTTTTTGTAGTAATTTTAGTTTTCCATTACTTTTATGATAAAATCCAAACCCCACAGTAATGACACAGAAGGAAGGCCATACCTTATATTTGAAGTGCTCTCTTTTCTTTTTTCACTACTTTTCTTCTTAGCTACACTTCCAGATCTTGTCAGCTCGAGGGTTACCTGTTTAAAGTGGAGTTTTCACCTCCACAGGCTGAATTAGATATTATTTATCTGTACTCGAATAGCATTCACCACTGTTAACAGCACTTAATGCTGAAACATAATTGATTTCTTGCCTTATTGACTAAACTGACCTCTATGCAACTCAAAGACCACATCTCAATCATCTCTATACTCCCTACCTATCAGAGTTTAGTGCACAGTAGACATTCAGTAAATGAATGAAGCAATTAAATATTGAATTTGTGCTGTTATTGAAAACTCCTTTAATGAAAAGCATTTAACACCATAGAGAAGACTGAACACCAGAAAAATTTACTTGCATGACTAATTATCATGTTATCTTTTTAGACAATAATTGCTTGTTTTTCTTCCCAAGTATTTATGCGCTGCCAGTTGAGCCGATTACAGAAAGGGCATGCCACAGATGAATGGTTTCTGCTCAGCTCCCATATACCATTAAAAGGTATTGAACCAGGGTCCCTGCGTGTTCGAGCACGATACTCTATGGAAAAAATCATGCCAGAAGAAGAGTACAGTGAATTTAAAGAGGTATTAAGTTATTTATCAATCTTGTTTTTGTTGGAATTAACAGAAACATTTAACATTTAATAAAAAATCTATTAAGCTAAACATAGTAATTCATAGCTTAGTAGCACATTGACACCAGAGAAGATTTAAAACCTTGTTTTATAGTGTGATTTTGGTAGAAATAGGTAGATTACGAATTCATTCTATTTTAAATAAATTTATTCAGTGGGACATCATTTTAAATATAAGAACTTGTGAAAGAACATATTTCTGGTTAGTCTCATGGAGCATGCTTAATGCTATGTACTTTAAACAGTCTTTTAAAATGTCATTTTAGCTTATACTGCAAAAGGAACTTCATGTAGTCTATGCTTTATCACATGTATGTGGACAAGACCGAACACTACTGGCTAGCATCCTACTGAGGATTTTTCTTCACGAAAAGCTTGAATCGTTGTTGTTATGCACACTAAATGACAGAGAAATAAGCATGGAAGGTATAGTATGGCTATATTAGTGTGATACTTTAAGAAACTGGGTTTAGATTTTATATCAAGGATGATATATGGACTCTATCTCTGAATATATTAAATTGTTAAATTATATTGCAAGGTAAGTTATTGTTTTCCCTCATTAAAAATTGCAGTTGGATTATCAGTTCTGATTATGTTGGTTACTATGGGGAGCTGATATTTCTAATGCAGAGTTTGGCAGGTAAGTATTAGAAGCCACAAGAAAGTGGTATGTGTGTCTACATCAATGGCTCATAGTGCTTGATTGTCTGGCATATTTAATTGTATTCTCTTGTTTGTTTGTTTATTTTGAGATGGAGTCTCAGTCGCCCAGGCTGTAGTGCAGTGGTGCAATCTCAGCTCACTGCAACTTCCACCTCTCGGGTTCAAGCGATTCTCCTGCCTCAGCCTCCCGAGTAGCTGGGACTACAGGCACATGCCACCATACCCGGCTAATTTTTATTTTATTTTTTAGTAGAGACGGGGTTTCACCATGTTGGCCAGGCTGGTCTTGAACTCCTGATTTCAGGTGATCCGCCTGCCTCGGCCTCCCAAAGTGCCAGGATTACGGGTCTTGTTTAATTTTATTTTTTCATTTCACAGAAGCTGGGTGTCAGTTGCATTTTATTTCTAACTTTTATAGACAGGTAGAGTTCCCAAGCTGCTGGACTCACAGTGCTTTTAATGGCTTACAAAATAATCCACCGGCCCCCCCAACGCGCCCCCCCCCCCAACCCAGCACTTTGATTCAGTAATAGTTCTTGCTTCTAGGTTCCCCAAATAAATAGTAAAGTTTAGAACTATTTGCTTGTCATCACAAAATATAGATTTGTCAAGGAATAGATAAAATGGTGGTCCTTATTTTACACTGAGTTTATCTTTTCTGTAGCATTTGTATTTCATTAAAATTTTACTGAAACTCAGTAGACACCTTTTAAGCTAATAAATTAAACTGGGATTTATCCTTAATTGTAAATAAATCCCAAAGTTTCAAAGCATGGGGTCAGTGGGCAGGAAAGCTGATTTGTAGTCCTAATTTTGTCATTAGCTGTCTAACTGATCTTACATGTAACAATTCTGAGACTTCATTTTTCCATATGAACATGGCAGTGTTAATCCCTTCTCCTGTTTATGATCTAATGAGGTAATACATATGAAAGTCTTACAGAGTTAAGTCTGTAGAAGTATAGCATGTCACTGTAATTAGTACTTCAATGCTGCATGCAAAAAGTACGTTTAAGTGGTTATTCCTTTTGAGGTAAAATGAATTCACTTAATTTCCAATTTGGTCACATTAGGTCAGTCCTTTACAAATAATCTTCTAATGTAAATATTTGTGTAGATGAAGCCACTACCCTATTTCGAGCCACAACACTTGCAAGCACCTTGATGGAGCAGTATATGAAAGCCACTGCTACACAGTTTGTTCATCATGCTTTGAAAGACTCTATTTTAAAGATAATGGAAAGCAAGCAATCTTGTGAGGTAAGAATTTAATGTTTTTAGTAGGTAATAATTTGTAGCCAATTACATTTTAAGGAAAATATTAAATTTCTAAAATTATTCCTCATAGCAGTTATACCTGTCTCTAATACATTTACAAAAATGTTCTGCAAAATGGACTTTTTAAAAAAGATGTACTTTATTTTGGGATTAAAAACCATCAAATTGCACTAGAAATTCATGAAAATACTTTTATCATTTCCTCTACTGCACTAGTAATCTATATACTACTTATAGAAAGCATGCATAACATACATGGAAGGTTTTGTTAGTGACTTATCATATGACCTGTGTAGCACTTCATTACATCTAGGTTTGTCCTTGAAGGTTTTTTTGCGAGAGGAGAATTATGAGATAACCTTGACTAAAACAAAAACATCTTTTTAGGATTATTAAAGCTTCAGTATAAATTCATAATAAACTATTAAGACAGTAAGTGGAATCTCACACATATATTCTCTCATTTTAATGGTAAAGCAGCAACAAAGAAATATATATTTTAGATCTGATACAAAAATCAGTTTAAGGAATTGTTTTCGACAGTGGACACTGGGACCTAGCAAATGTTAATCCTGCACGAAGGTGTCAATTCGTACTAATAACCTGAAGGGAAGAAATTAGTGATTTAATTTTGGAAATCTGGAGTAATGCCATAGTTGGCCTAACATAAGGATGACACAGAAGTGCAGCAGGTAGGTAGGGAGTCTCTGGACTTTAGAGATAGGCTGTGGAATTCGGACTTCCATAGATAAATGTACTCTGCTGACACTAGATCAGAAGGGTTACAGGAAAAGTTCTGAGAAAGGTTTGTGATTCTGCCTAAGACATTTGATATTTTTATTAGCCATTAAATAAGCCTCATTCAGAAAAGGCTTTTAATCAGCTTTTTTTACCCTCAAATAAATAGAATTGACTAACCACTGTTTGCTTTTCAGTTGGGTAATTGGGAATAAATGGTAACAAACCTACCAGAAGGAGTTCCATAGAGCAAACAACTTAAAAACTCCCATTTATACAAAGAAAAAAGATCAGTACACACAGAGATACTGAAAAATAGAGAACCTTGAAAACTACAACTACTTGTTTTCCTCAGTTCATTTGCATTTGTCATTGCCAACAATGCATTTCTATTGATTTATTCCTTCTTTTAGTTAAGTCCATCAAAGTTAGAAAAAAATGAAGATGTGAACACTAATTTAGCACACCTATTGAACATACTTTCAGAGCTTGTGGAGAAAATATTCATGGCTTCAGAAATACTTCCACCGTAAGTGGTGAAATTTTCATTTGACAAGAAATTGTGTATCTGTGTCTTGAGAAGTTTCTATTTCTAAAACATGTGAAAGCTTTTCTGTTGTCCTAATATTATTATACTCTGAAAAAGTCATGGTTAATCTTTATAAGATGAATTATATTTAAAGAAAATAACTGTCTTAATAAAACCACCCATTGTTTTTGTACAAGCCATTATGTCTGGTTTGTATAGTAGCTTGGGGAGTGAATAGAGGTTTATAGTCTCAGATTTGAGATTGTAAAAGATATCTTGTCTATCCATTTAGTCTATACTCGATAGATTAATCACTCTGTTACTATGCTTTTAGGCCTCCAGTATTAGTGAACTCACTTGTTAGGTGGAAGTTAATGTAAGTCTAAGTCTTTCTCCCCAGAGTTTGCAGCTGGTTAGTTCTCTGTATCTGAAAGTAAAGGTCAGGAAGTTGACTGAATAAATTGATGATGATAAACTTAGTCGATAAAGTTTTCCTTACCCCTTCTAAATGTCTCATTACCTGTGGCAAAATACTTTTTTTGGGGAAAAGGCCAGTTTTATTAAACTGTGGTATATTTGGGTAAATTAAGCTTTCGGCTGCTAGGAGACAGTAGTTTCACTTGCTTTCTGTGTTGAGATGATTGTGTTATTTTGGCAGGACACTGAGATATATTTATGGGTGTTTACAGAAATCTGTTCAGCATAAGTGGCCTACAAATACCACCATGAGAACAAGAGTTGTTAGGTAAGGCTCATCAATTCATTTGTTAAATCACAAACTGATAGATGGATAATTGTGAAAAATTGAAGAATAACAATATACAATTCAACGTTTTTCTTTGACTTTTATGTCAAAGCCCTGTTGCATATTTTCTAAGTCCAAATGGCTCCTAAACTTAAAGTTACTATGAGATTTAGCTACCGTTTGCATTTTCTAAAAACATGAACATTCATTTATAGTCAAGTATTGGGGATTTTTAAACCCTTACAGGATGAGTTTAAAAGTTATACAACCAAAATCTGTAGCTAACTTCATGTAATATTCTTCATACGTACACACACACATTGATTGGCACTAAAAGAGAAGAGCAGTAATTGACTGGTTTAGATATTAATTGGTTTATTACAATCTGTGACTCTGAGCTAATCTGGAACCAGAACATGTGGTGCTGAAGCTCTGTTTCAGTCTGCTCATTGTACCATAATTAGGAAGAACTGTTTTGGCAAACCATGGAATTTGGGAGCTTATATAAAGGGACTTCATTATCATTATTCTATAGGAAGAACTGCTTTGGCAAATCATGGAATTTGGGAGCTTATATAAGGTTACTTAATTATCATTATTCTAACTTACTTTCCAATGAAGAAGCAGATCTGTCTGGAGAGGTTAAGTTGTTGAACTAAGGTTATATAGAGAGCTGGTGGCTAAGGCACAACTAAAGGTAACTTTCTAAGACCCAATCTGATATCCTTAAGTCTTATTTGTAGGCTTTTGCTTTTGTTAAGCATACTCCAACCAATACCCCAACTAATTCCAGGCAAATGGAAATTTAATGCAAAAGCATCATGGAATACAGCAGTTTTCTAATAATATAATTTGTTATTTAGAATATACATGGTCATGCCATGCTATATTTAAAATAATTAGACAACCATTAGCACCATTATTACAGTTTGTTTTGAAAATGTGTGTTAATCCTGCCTCCAACCTAAATTTTGTCAAGGGTCTTCTATTTCTTTTTTTGGGGGGCAGATAAAATTTCTCTTGGTTATGATATGACATAATTAAGAACTACAGATTCAGTTTTTGTTGGCATTAATGGTGATTGGGAGGAATAGAAAAGAATTATATTCTAGCACAGTTATGTGTGAGATGTAAATTAAAACTGTTCTATAAATTTGTAAGTTTCAAACAAGTATAACTGTTAAGCAAACACAGCAGGAAATTGTAAACTGATGCAAGAGGGTGTTTTAGGGCATTTTTGCCAAGGTTATGTTTCAGGCTCATAAACCTACTGTGTATAATTATGACAATATTTTCAAGTAAAGTTTACACAAGATTCTTTAAATTTGAGAAGTCCAAAATTAAAGACTTAATTGTTATTTTTTTGAGACAGGGTATCGCTCTGTTGCCCAGGCTGGAGTGCAGTGGTGTGATTTCAGCTTATTGCGACCCCCGCCTCCCAGGTTCAAGTGATTTTCGTGCTTTACCCACCCAAGTAGCTGGGATTACAGGCATGCAGCACCACACCTGGCTATTTTTGTATTTTTAGTAGAGATGGGGTTAGCTCATGTTGGCCAGGCTGGTCTTGAACTCCTGGCCTCAGGTAATATACCCACCTTGGCCTCCCAAAGTGTCGGATTACAGGCATGAGCCACCATGCCCAGCCAATATATTACAATTCCTATAAATGCTGTTTGAGAAGTAACTACTTTCTAAGAGTCCAAAAATTAGCAAACAGGTACATGTTCAAAGGTAAATGCTGAGAAATTGGGTAACCCGCTCTAACAGAGAACAGAGATTGTGCCTATTAATGTCTAGAAGGAATTGCGTAACTCATTATTTTGGGAATAATGCTCATCTTTACATAGATTATGTCTATCAGTCTGTAGAAGGAATTGCATAATTCATTATTTTAGGAATAATGCTTGTCTTTACATGGGACAAGTAAGAGGTTATTAGTGTGGATTCTTCTTAAAAGGAAATTAGAGAGAAATTATCTACATGACAACATGTCCTCCCTGCCAGTGACTAAAGGAGGCAGAATAGGAGTATCTATGCAAGCTTCATTTTCACACTGACATTGTCCCAAAATAAAATTAGCAGATAAAATCATATATGACAGCTGTTAGTATAATTTTTGCTTTTGCTATTGTTTTGTAATTTAACAACTTTTTAAGACTTTAGAATTCCTAATGTCTTGCCTTAAAAGTTTTCCAGGCTGGGCATGGTGGCTCAAGCCTGTAATCTCAACACGTTTAGACCAAGACAGGAGGATTGCTTGAGACCAGGAATTTGAAATTGTCCTGGGCACCGTGTTGAGACTCTGTTCTCTACAAAAATAATTTAAAAAAAAAATTAGCCAGGTATGGTGATGTGCACCTGTAGTCTTAACTACTCTGAGCCTAAGGCAAGAGAATTGTTTGATCCCAGAGGTTCAAGGTTGCAGTGAGCTGTGATTGCGGGCCCCTGTACTCAAGCCTCGGTGACAGAACAAAACCCTATCTCAAAGAAAGAAAGAAAAAAAAAAACCTTTCCAGTGTTCTATTATAGACATTTTCATTTATCAATAAGTCACCTTTTCTCTAGTGCAATGGATTCTTATTTTTATATGAATCATCAACAAAATCAATGCAGCCAGCTTAAGGCTGTTTTGTTTAAATAAATTATAGAAATGAGGATGTGTGAAATTCTGAAATTGTACAGAATTATGCTTATATAATATAAAAAGTTTATACTCCTGTGGTATTTCAGAAATTCTTAGGGTTCCTGAGGATACTACTTTAAGTATCACATGACCACTAGGCCTGGAATAATAAATAGTAAGCAAGACAGTAAATACTACAGATGAACAACATTTTCCCACAGTTAATCCAAATTCTAAATTGGGAAAAGTGAGTAATACATTCAGGAAGCAGATATATATATATATATATATATATATATATATATATATATATATTCTTAAAATATGATGCTTTGGCTTACTGTTTTCTTAAAGCTTTCTGTGTCTGGGCTTCCTTTTATTGGTTTAGAGTGAAGTTTATGGTTCTATGAGTACTAAAAATTCTGTTTTATATGTATTGTTTTAATGTAACACATTATGTATGTGTTTTCTAAAAAAAAAAAAAAAAAAAAATTTCCCTCCCATTCAGTGGTTTTGTTTTTCTTCGACTCATCTGTCCTGCCATCCTGAATCCACGGATGTTCAATATCATCTCAGGTAATCAGCTTTTGATAAATTTCAAAATTCAAAAAATTACAATTAACAGTTTCACACTGTTAGGTAAGAATACTCTTAAAATAAATTAAATCTAGTTTTTTTTTTTGTTTTTTTTTTTTAATTATCCAATTCTAGTCTTGACATATATAAAGTATTCCAAAGCACCCTTCCCTTCCTTGTGCTTCTTCGGCTTTTTTCTTTTTGTTTCTTTTCTTCCATCTCATATCTAATCTGAGATGGCATGATTACACACATTCCACCTTTTTTTCTGACCCTATTGTGTCTAAAACCTTTATAATAAATAACTTCTTGTAGTCTGCAACTTGGCTTTTTCAAGTTGGGAAGAGCTTTGCTTAGCCCATTGCTAGACTGCTGCCAGCTGGATCTTCAAGATCAAATTAAATGGTATCTACAGTTGGAATAGTATTCTGTGCGTACGCATGAAGAAAGCAGTCCTGGTTCCTCCCATTAGAGATTTTTAAAGTCACCAGTTATATAGTGTAAATTGGCCATTTTAAACTTTAGTAAACCTGATCCAGTTTCATTACCCATATACCCATTTTGAGATGACTTTCAGGTGTTACACACTTCTTTCAAAGAAAGCATAATAGGGATATTTGTGACTTTGAATGTAATAATGAACCATTATAAACAGTAAGAACCAGAATTTTTACCTTAATAATCTGAAGCTCAAAATTGTATTAAAAATGTTTTGCATCTCTGTAATTATCTTTTATTGCTACTAAAGTGGTTAAATCTACAAATCCATTAAGATTAAGGGTTTGAAATTCTTTTGGAGAAATTTATCTGAATGTTTGCCTCAGACACCACTATCTAAAACTAGGCAGTCAGGTAGATTATCTGTGGGATTTTACTGTTAAATAATTAAGTTCCAGAGCTTATATTTAATAGACACCAATACTTGTCATTTACATCCTACTTATCTGTGTTCTTCAGGGAAATGCCTCCTGATTTACCTTTAAAATATTTTAAAAGTTTATTAAATTTCATGTTTTTCTCCTCAAAATAAAGCAGAGGTCCTAGATTTTATCTTGCTTCTTGTGCTTTTAAGTGAATTATTTGGATTGCAGATAATGTTGGGAGCAGGGAATTGCTCAGATTGCTAACCCGAGTAGGCCGAAACTAGCTTTGTGAACTGTCACAAAACGTGTGAGAGTGACAGTCTTTTTTAGTGATAAAGGTAAAGCTTTGAGGTCCTCTGAAATAGTATCAACCATTGGAAATTGCTGCGTTTTGTAGTACCCTTTTCACAAGCCTAGAAGCACTGATAAGCATATTCAGTTTTCCTCTTTTAACTCAAGTTCTTTTGAATTATACAGATCACAAATTTTTCAAAAAACATTTTTCAAAAAACATTCTGAGTTCTGAATGGAAGAATGGGTAGTAGTGTAACAGTAAAGAAATGTTAAAGTGCTAAATTTATAATGGTTTAGCTGAAAGTGCTGTTGGAGTTGGTGTCATT